GGAATGCTTGATATTGTTGTTTCAATCACTGTAAGAATGATCGTCATCCTCAGGGAACAGCTTGGAATTTGTAATTAAGGAGGCACATCACCTGCCTTTGTACACTAGTTTATGAATACCGATGAGGTCGAAGGACGTGCTTTGTTGGCCTCATTTTAATATCATGTTGACCTGCGTTAATCATAGTGTGAGTGCGTCAAAAGTGATGCTCGACCGCTCAATAACAGTCACATTTTGACCCTTTGAGTATGTATCTATATGCAATAAAAACCGTGAAATGAACAGAAGACGGTAAACAAAATGAGTTTTCAGCAACCTTGTGAGTAGTTTCCTTTATGAAAAAAGAAAACCATTTTAGAGGTTCGGGTGTCTTGAGGACTAGGGAAGGTCATTAAGGGGGGTCTGCATCCAAAACGGTTAAGCCAGCTCTGGCAACAGATTTACCACATCGGTTATTAATATCCATCAGCGTCGTTTAGCATTGCATTGTCGCGAACACATTTCACCAGAGTACTTGTGCAGATGTGATGCTGATGGAGAGTTTAATGCTTTTTTCTGTGAATCTAATCCTCTCTATCTGCTTTCTCCTGGTTGTATGACAGCTATGGGTCACAGTTAGACGGTTGTCGGCGTTGTTGTTTGGTAATCACCGGTTAAATATCACCCTGTTTTAGCGAATATACACTCATTTGCAAACTAATTTGGTTTCTCGAGAGGCTCACCTGAAACCCAGCTGAATATCTCGTTTATGATGTTCTCAGGCAACTGAATGTGCTGCACTAGGCCGCCTGATGTTTTAGTCGCTACGATATTCGAGGTATCGCGATACATGTATATCCTTGTAATGTACTACTCATAAGGTAGCCCACAACCGGTTTCGCCCTTCTTGGGGCTCATCAGGTAGGCGAAGTCCTCGGGTTTCCGTCAACCTTACGTTCTTCTTGAAACCAAATTGCACGAAATTAGCGAATATACACTCATTTGCAAACTAATTTGGTTTCTCTGGGAGACTCACCTGGAACCCAGATGAATTTCTCGTTTGTGATGTTCTCAGGCACCCTGTTTGTCCCTATTTGGAATCATCAGTAAAACTCATCTCCCGGGTCCAGAGAGAGCTTAGAACTCGCAACCGTAATCCCGTTACTAGCAGTTCGTGTTCTTGAATCTAGTGAAGTGCGATGTGTTGACGAATCCAAACAAGCATCCAGTAGCCATTGGCGTGGCCCTATTGGGTGAATTGAAAATAGTCTACAGATGATGAGCAATCTGTTCGGAATGGAAAACACCTCAGAATGCACCCGGTTCTTCTGAGATTCCATCATTTGTACAATCGCACTAGCACAATTGCACTAGCAATCAGCCCTTCTAGTTGAAGGAAGGGCTGTCAACCTCTTTCCGGAAGTTTGCGTGTTGGGACTGAACTCACTAGGTCTACGTGTTTGATGGCTCCGGGCAAAATTGAAATCGCTGTGCAGTGCTTCTGAACTTTCCAGCACAGGATCAAATCCGAGACCAGAGTTTGAAATATTAATTTTGCCAGATTTCTTGCTTCCGTTATCAACCTAACCACATTATGAAAGTTTTCAACTAGAATTTTCCTGCTTGAAAACATCTAGTCCTTAGTAGTAGTGGCTGCCACACCCAAACTGAGAGTGACTGAGTGGTATAAATCCACCGATTGTCTACCAAATCCCTCTGAAACGAAGAATGAGTGGTTTGTTTCTTCATGCAACCACGTAGTCTCTTAAATGACACCACAATATACGGGAAAGTGTTTCTGGGTACGGGTTTTCTGGCACCGAAATCTGCCAGACATGTACCTATCTTTCTCATCAGTTAGACCAGATCTTGTTTTCGCTTGTTATAATAACCATAAGATGACTCAATTGTGTTACCGGCCAATCAAATACTGTTAGTCTTTTTTTACCTGAAAAAAATCACCGGTCCACGAGGCCCAAACCCTGTACTCTGTGCGCCTCTGTATAACCGAACATCAAGAGATAGGTTGGCATGTTTCTTAAGTATGTGCATTGAAACACAGTATCGTTGTTCACATTCTCATGCGTTCGGGAACGAGCCTACAACAAGCCTATATTAGTGAGACCTACCAAATCTCGGATGAATGATTGCAAGTGTTCCCTGAACTGCATGGCTGTTGTGCAGCTGGACAGCGCTCGACAGTTTTGCGTGCTTTCCTGGTTAGGCGGATTACAAGGCGCTAGTGACACGGCGTTTCAGTGGGTTCTGCACAAATAAGCTCGTCGACGGCCGTAGCTTACAACTCACGTGGCATTGGAAATGGTAGGGTTCTCCCAGCGTCACCCACCTAAAACGAGCCGGTTTTTTTCTGCCACTGGATCATTAAGTAAAGGTAATGATGCTGTTGGGTAGTGCGATTGCATTTACCATGAGGCTGTTCGTTGGTCCAGTGCTACTATTGATGAGGTGCTGCCAGTAACAGAAGGACACGTTGAGACAGACGCCCTGAGAGCCTGACAGGGTATATGCCACAAGAAACGAATTATTACGGACAAGCTTTTTTCATTCCAGGTCTCCACAAAGCAGATTAGACTAGATAAGACTATGGAAGATTGTCCGGAGATGTAATACCTAGTGGTGCGCACTTGGGAAGTTCAAGAATTCGACAGATTCTCTGCTCCGATTCTCAAATCATCCCGTTGACCGGCGGACCGTTTTTCGTTTGAGGTTTGC